AGGCTGCTGAGAGCCCCTCAGGGCGCGGGTGGAGGCCGCTCCGCTGAGGAGTCCCCTCCTGGCGCCACTGCGGCCCCGGGAGCGGCCCTTTCCCGTGGGGATGCGCTTGTCCCTCTCCATATTCAGCATTGCCCAAATTTGTGACTTCTCGTAGGAAAATATGCTCTGCAAGGGCGTTTCAGGGAAGTAAATACATTATAAAGTATTAATTGCCAGCTCTGCTTACACCTTCACTTAAGAAAAAGGGACGTTTGAAGGTCTGCTATTAGTTATTCTGAAAGATTTAACAAGTTTTATGTTGTGATGTCAAGTTAGGATCAATGTACTCGACACTATACATGAAGACAATAAGTGTAATGTGTTAGAAAATAAAGCTGGTTAACATAATTCAGGTTTTTGAATCACACTTAACAATGTGGTAGTACTGCAGACTTCTGCTAATTAGTTTATAAGAAGTTACTCATTTTTAGCTGTTCCATATTTCTGTTAGTGCCTAAGTAACTGAATGAATGTACTGAAAGGAAAGCTGTTGAGACGGTTTTGCTGTTCAGTGTGGTGTAAAAAGTACTCGATCTGTGCAGTGAAGTATCCTAAGTAAATACGGTAGAGAAGGAACTATATGTGATTTTTCTAGACTGGGACTGCTGCTTCTTGGGTCTTGTGTTGGCTTTGTGCTAATAGTGGTAATAAACGTATTATTGTACTCGAGTCTGGTGAACTCTTTTGGTTAAAGTTCCTTGACACAGGCTTCTATAAAAGGGAGAAATCGAAATGATTTGGCTAAAATACACTCTTTTAATTGGTGATAATAAAAGCACATTTTTTTTTTAGGCAGATGTTTTTCTAGCAACTGCAGGTGTTTTGCACATAGCATAAAAGTTCTGTATGGATCACTTTCATTTTATTTCATAGGCTGGTCGCCTGCTGATACGGAAGTTAATCGCAGAGAAGTTGTGCATACCTTGGAATGAAATACACTTGCAAAGGACATCAAAAGGAAAACCTTTCCTGGCAAATAATGTATTCAGTATCTATTCAAATTACAACTTCAATGTCTCTCATCAAGGCGATTTTGCAGTTCTTGCAGCTGAGCCTGAGCTTCAAGTTGGCATTGATGTTATGAAGACTAATTTACCAGGTAATGCATTATGGTGACCAAACCAGATTCTGTAGTGTTTTAGTGCCGAACATTTTAACATTTACCAAAGAACCAATGTGTGTCCTAGAAATTTAGTGTAACTAGAAGAGACTGTATGAATGTATTGCATATTTGCTTTTTTTTTTTAATTGTTAAATGCACTCCTCATTGTTTATTTAAGGTTTTCTGTTATGCCAGATATGGATATATTTCCAGTTTAGAAAAGCAGAACCCTGCAAAAATAAGGTCATGAATCCTGCTATGATATTGGCAGGACTGGTGTCTACAGATATTGTAATTATGAGTTTGCTGTTTGTTATGTAGAAGCAGGGACAACTTTCCAAGTAGAGACAGTGGGATGCATCCCCATGAGAACTTCAGTGACTGTTACTCACTTGTTCCATAAGTGTGGACATTTTATGTGTCAGCACCAGGCCCAGTAGTGTAGCAAACTGGCATCAAAGATATGCTACAAACGTGCAGAAATCCTCCATGAGAAAGGATCATGAGGGAACATTTGAGGTGCCCCTGGTAAAAGGCTAAACTTCACAAACTTTAGTTGGTGGACTGTTTCTTTGTATGAGATGTTGCGCTAACCTCACTGTATTAGTGAACCTCAGGACCCAAATTATAAATTAGAATTGTAGCAAAGTGTATTTTTAAGTACAGTTTTATGAAGATCATTTTGTTCATAAATGTTCACTGACGGATGACTGGGTTCACGGAGGAACATACTGGGATTTATCATTTACTGGAATTTTAGTTTTTGAGAATCTTCCTCAAATGTTTAACCAGGTATGACAGTAATAGCTGTGTTCTTAGGTTGTGGAGAGAGATTTTCTTCTATTTGCCTAGCATTTTATGCTAAAAAATAATTTTTGTAGTAAGGTAAAGATGCAAATAAACCCTGGCTGGATAGCTTTATAATCACTTTACACCTTTTTAATGTTTATTACAAGTGTACGCTTTGGATTGGCTTGTTTAGCTAAGATGCACAGAAACTTTACAAAGTCCAAAATGAAGTTGCTTCTCTCTGTAACACTTCCATCTACTGTAGACCCTCACTCAAGAGGGTGGTCAGCATGTGATGCCACATTATAGCCCATGGAGGACCCCACACCAGCGCAGTTCTGTATTTTGTGACGGGAACTGTGCCCTGTGGATAAGGCTGCACTGGAACAGGTACACCCTGAAAGGACTGCAGTAATGCAGGGCCCAAATATCCCATTAAGCCTGAGGCCAGTGCTTTTATCATAGCTCTCCCAAACAAAACAAAGTGATGTCCTGGCTGTGTCTCTTCCTAGTGTCTCGCATGCCTGCAGCCTGTTTGCTGGGGAGGCAGACTGACAGAGAAGGCCTTAACACTGTGCAAACACTGCAGCAGTAGATAAAATATTGGTGTGGCATCAACACTGTTTCAGGCATAGATCTAAAACACAGTGCTGTATGGACTGCTGTGAAAAATATGAACACTCAGACCCAGTACCCTTGGAAACACTTTGGCTGCACTTGCCACAGGCCTTACCACAAGACTCCCTGATCACTCATTTTAAAAAGCTTTCCAGTTTCAGCAGGTAAACATCAAAAATGAAAATCAAAACGTTCTAACATTTTTCTTTGTATTTTAAGCTTTTCTTGGGGAATGAAAAATTGAAATTCATTTATACATGCCATATATGGAGGTAGGGATATCTTGTGTCCTCTGCTGGCATTTTACGCAGCTGGAAATGTAGCTGACATTTTAAAGACACATTGCTAATGTCCATATGACAAATCTTATGAAATGTGTTAAACTCTCCTGAAGTAGGCAATAATTCTGAAAAGTAGAGGTTTAACTTTACATTTAGGTTCAGAAACCTGTATTTGTATTACTTCTCCATTTTGGAATATAACGCATTCAATTTTGTAAGGGAATATATTCTTGGTTCTTTTCCAGTTAATGGAGAAAATAGCTTTTAACTTCAATATTAGCTGGCTTTATTTTAAAAAAAAACCCACACAACCAAAATCTACTGCTTCCTTTCTTTTGTATTTTTTGCTCACTTGTTCAGTATTCCTTTCTAATTTCCCTGATATTAAATCACTGAAATACCAATAACTCAGTGTCCATTGATCTATTGCTCATTCTGCAAGCAGTGTCGGGACAAATCAAGGTTCTTTTACCTTGTGTCTGAGTGTATTCTTCATTCAGTGTCTCTAGTCACTGCTGTCAGAAGAGGAGTGGAATCAAAGTTAGGCTGTCAGTATATATTGTTGTTTACTCTTAGTTATGTCAACTTTAGCAGGCTAAATTTAGGAAAAAAATATCTGGAGTAAATCCTGTTGATGATGTTTTGGTTGCTATTCTGCTCTGTCACATAGCTTTTTGATTGCCTATCCTATGGTTTCTGAAAAACAACATGAAGCTGAAGTTTAAAGTAGGAATTGGTATCGGGGAGAGAATTTAATCTTAGCAGAAACGTAGGAAAAGTGGTGAAACTGAACTCAACTTTTATTGTAAGTAAAGCCAGGGTTTAGATACGACATTCAGTTCTTAATTTCGTCAGTAGCAAGAGAAGCTCCTGCCAACATGTCCTAGAATTGTTGATGGCAGCAGTCGTGACCTCTTAGCATAAAGCAAATGTTGCCACATCCCCCTGGGCAGCTGCACTCAGCAGCTGTGTGGATTTAATTTGTGAATATGAACTGGTGAGGCTAAACTCTTTGAGATCTGATACAAACTGGCTTCAGTGTTTTTACCCATAGAGAGGAAAATGGTGGTTATTCTGGAGATTCTTGTGATTCCAAAGACTAAATGATGGAATTAAATTGGTGCTTTTGTAATAAAGTGATACTGAAAAACTCTGTATCCAGACGACCAATCTGAAACAAGCGAGTGACAGATGCGGCCTTCTAGGATTCCTCAACATGGGTCCTTTATCCACCTTTATCCATGGCTACTTTATCCACCTCTCTCTCTTTAGTCAGAGATCTAGGTATCTATTAACAGAAAAAGGGGCTATGAAGACAAATCACTGTATCCACAATCTGAATTCATGGTGGCAAGCTTCACAGTGTATACAGAGGAGTAAAAAATGCATCGTTACAAAATTTGTGGCTTTCCTTTCAGATATCTGAAGTTCCACAGCTAGCATAGTCTGTCTTGAAGTAGTGTAGCTGTCAGCAGCTTGTGTACATCTTTTCTATCTTTTGATGAGGAAAGGAACTTCAATGCTTGTCATTATGCATATGAAAGCACTGTTGTGTGTCGGTGCCTGGTTGTGCAATTATTTTCCACATTATGTAACTTTACATAAATATTTGTGAATTAAATAAAAAAAACCCCCGAGGTTCACATTTTAAAGAGGTTTTGTTTATAGCCATACATCTTCCTTTTTGGAATTATAATTTGTATTTTTGGAAAAGAAATATGATACTAATGAAACTTGGTTGATTGTATGTGGGAAAGGGAGCCAGCAAACAAGCAATATTAAAGATTTAATATTAAAATATTAAATTAATTTTAAGTTATAGTCTCTGCAGTATGAACTAAAGCTAGTAGTTTTTTCACCTAAAATTTTTCTGAGAAAGATTTTTGTCTTCGTAGAATTATCTGGAACTGTTCTTACTGCTGTGCTATGAATATATAACTTTGATTGTACCAGTATTGTTTTACCGATAGTTCCACTGAGTGGTGCTCTTGCTCTGCAGTTGCTAAGTACATTATATTTCTGAAAGTGAATCCACTATAAATCTTTCTCTGGAATAGCTACAAGGACAAAGAGTTTCCTATGTACAAAGTACATTACAGCAGTTTTTTTGTGGTTAAGCAAGCATTTGAAAAAAACCCAAGTACTTCATCTTGTGATGTTATCCAACAGAATCTCGACTGAGGTCTCCAATATTCTAGTTCTTATATTCCTTTATTGTTCAACCGGTGAACAAAATACGCAGCGCAAATATACAAGATAGTATCATGCAGCTCAAAGTTTTGAGAAATACCCTATTAGTGTGCTAGTATGTAACAAGCACACAACCTGGTGCACATAAACATGTCACTTCTTAATCTGTGGTATTTTTCATAGAATCATAGATTCTTTGGGTTGAAAGGGACTTCTTAAGGTCATCTAGTCCAACCCCCCTGCAATAAGCAGGGACATCTTCAACTACAGGTTGCTCAGAACCCCGTCCAATCTGACCTGGAATGTTTCCAGGGATGGGGCATCTACCACCTCTCTGGGCAACCTGTGACAGTGGTTCACCACCCTCGTTGTCAAAAATTTCTTCCTTAGATCTAGTCTAAGTGTACCCTCTTTCAGTTTAAAATCATTACCCCTTGTCCTATCATAGCAGGCCCTGCTAAGAATTCTGTCCCCATCTTTCTTATAAGCCACCTTCAAGTACTGGAAGGCTGCAATAAGGTCTCCTTGGAGCCTTCTCTTCTCCAGGCTGAACAACCCCAACTCTCTCAGCCTGTTCTCATAGCAGAGGTGTTCCATCCCTCTGATCATTTTTGTGGCACTCCTCTGGACATGCTCCAACATGTCCATGTCTTTCCTGTGCTGAGTTTTCCAGAGCTGGACGAAAGCCTCCAGGTGGGTTCTCACCCAAGCAGAGTAGAGGGGCAGAATCTCCTCCCTCGACCTGCTGGCCATGCTGCTTTTACTTATGTGCAGTAAAAAGCCACCTGTTTCCATATTACTTTTGCTGCATTATTAAAATTTGAAAAATGAAACTACTGCAAGACATAGCCTTCTTCAAAGGTGAAGGCAGGCCACACAAGAATCTATTCTTAGCAGTGCAAATAGAGACAGTTCTACAAAAGTTCCACAGGTATGCAACAGTTTATCACCTTTTTCCTTTATTCTGTTATTGATCTACATAATGTAGCAATGGTAGAAAAGGAAGATGTCCTCTTTAGGTATTGTGTGTTGTTGCATTGGTTATCCAGCAGGTTATTGTTGCAGATTTAAACCAGGCTTTCAGTTTACTTGTCTTTGAAGAATAACTGAGATCAATTA